AGTTAGATTAATTAATATAACATGAGATTCATGTACCCATCTTTTATATGCTCTTATGTATTCTTTTTTGGGTTTTGGTATGTATGTTCATGTTCATGTGTATGCATGCACGTGTGTGTGTGTGTGTGTGTGTGTGTGTGTGTGTGTGTGCGTGTATGCACAGATGTATGTGTTCATGTGGAGACCAGAAGCTGATGTAGGGTGTCTTCCTCAGTTGCTATCAACCTTGTGTTTTGAGACAGAGTCTCACCTTAACATGGCATTCACAGATTCATCTAGACTGGTTAACCAGGAAACTCCCAGGATTCACTTGTCTCTGCCTTCCCTAGCTAGGATCATAGGCTTACACTGAAGTGCACAGCTTTTTTATATGTGGATCCTAGGGGAGCCAAGTCAGGCCCCTAAGCTTGCATAGCAGGCATTTTACCAATCAAGTCATCTCTCCAGCTTTTTTTTTTTTTTGAGACAGAGTCTCCCTATAGCCTCAGATAACCTGGAACTTGCTATATATAGACCACACTGGCCTTGATCTCACAGAGATCTGCCTCCTAAGTGCTGGAACTAAAGGTGTATGGCATCATGCCTAGCTCTACACATTCTTTTTTTTTAATTTTATTATTTTTATTTTATGTGTATGAGTGTATTGCCTTCATGTATGTGAGTGCACTAGTGTCACGCAATCCCCACAGAGGTCAGAAGAGGGCATCCAATTCCCCTGGAACTGGAGTTACTGAAGGTTGTTAGCTACCATGTGGGTGCTGGAACTCGAACTGGGTCCTCTCCAAAAGCAAACAGTGCTCTTAACCACTGAGCCATCTCTCCTGTCCCCATTTTCTTTTCTTTTTTAAATTTAGAGAGTGTCTGATCTGGCTTCCACCTGGTATAGGGGCTGAGAACTCAGCAGACCATTGCCTGAGAGTGCTTGGATCTGGCCTCCATGTGGTGGTGAACTTCCCCAAATTGTGCTGTGCCTAACCTCCTAATTGGGATTATGTGTGGGCCCTCCTACTTCACCAAAGGTTGACCTCTCTGCCTTACAGTAGGGTAGGGGCTGAGACCTTAGCAGGTCACCTGAGTTTCTGATCTGGCCTCTGCCTGGTGTAGGGTCTGAGAACTCAACAGACGGCCTGAGAGTGCCAAAACCGGGTTTCCCCTTAGTAAACATCCCAAACTGTGCTTTGAGTACTGCTAGGGGTCCGAATGTTAGAAGGAAGCCTGTGTGTACCTGACTGGAGCCCGACTTGGGCCTCTGTGGGAACTCCTGAGTAGCTGATCTGAAGCCATCAGTTCCCTCCAAAGTAAAATCTGAGAACCTGAAGCCTAGACCAACCAGCTTTATATACCCAATAAGAAAACAACTAAGGCACAACAATAACACAAACAGAAGCACACTTCAACTCAACAAAAGAAGTCTTGAGTTTCATACAAGAATCACAAATAACAAAAGAAATCCACATGCCAAAATTGCAAGGGAAAAATAATAACATGGAAAACCAAAACAGCATGTTCCCACTAAACTCCGCCAGTCCTGAAGAAGAGTTCTACAAGGAAAACCCCTTAGAGATAACCCAGGACACAGAATTTAAAAGATCATCAGCATGATCAAGGAATTCAATGAATTTAAAGAACACACAAACAAATCAAAGAACTAAAGAAGATAGAGATAAACTTCTGACTGAATTCACAAAGGAGAAACATTGTAGAAAAATGAAGAAGGAAGTGAAAATCTCAATAAGCCAATTTGAAACAACAGGAGAAAGTTTCACCACTAGAATGAGTAAAATGGAAAACAGAATATCAACACTGGAGGATAAAGTTCAAGAACTGGAACACTCAAGCAAAGATTATGAAAAAGGGAGAATACCAATAAATGGTCCAACCCCAGCTTCAAGGCCTAAAAACTGCATCAATGACCAACACAGCAAATGACATTGGTGCAGTAGTGGCACTTTTATCTTGGGGGTAATCCACAGCTACCTAATTGGACTTAAAAGCCCACTCAATGGGAGGAAACTCATGTCTGGTACTGTAAACCTAGCCAAATACACATAGCTGGAGAGGCCACAGATCTTAGAGAAAACCCAAGGCTCTCATATCTCTAGACAAATATAGTTTCTTACTATGTGCAAAATATGGATCCTGCCGGGCGTGGTGGCACACGCCTTTAATCCCAGCACTTGGGAGGCAGAGGCAGGTGGATCTCTGTGAGTTTGAGGCCAGCCTGGTCTCCATAGTGAATCCAGGACAGCTGGGGCTGCAGAGAGACCCTGTCTCAAAAAGACGAAAAAAAAACAAAAACAAAAAACAAAAAGGATCCTTAAAATTACACACAAGTATCCCAGTCATCACCCATCAAAGTAGCTTCTTTTTCAACAGACAGATTATTAGAGTTACACCACTAGTCACACACAGAAATTCTCTGTGAATTGCCCAAGCCTCAATGGCACATTTAGGACGTAACCTCTCGATCTAAGACTCACGGAACATAGAACAAGGGGTGAAGAGAACACTAGCGCATCTTTCAACTCTCATCAATGAAGCTCCCTCATGCAACAGAGGGCCAGGAACACAAAAGGCCACAAATGGCCAAAACAGAGAATAAGAGTCTGCAGAGTATGGGTCCTTGGACAGGACTCCTATATTCAGGTCCACCCACCCAGTGTTCAGGGACCACTGCAGAAGAAGGGGGCAGGAAAGATTATAAGAGCCAGGGAGGAGGTGTAGGACCATATGGAAATAGTCCTACAGGTACCTGGGACCCTTTTCACACAAACCTACAGCAATGGTGTCAACATGCACAAGGCCCATGCAAACTTAGGTAGACAAAAACCCAGCACAGAACTGTGGAAATGAACAGCAAGCCCCAATCTTGGTTGAAGAATTATTAGCAGCTGATTACTGCTGGGTGAGGAAGAGCTGATCTTTTTGAAGAGAGAGACTCTAGATAGGCTGACTAAACCCTAGTGGATGAACTTGTACTAAGGGACATCTGGGGACATTAACTTTACATAATAGGACTTTGTTCTAGTTTGTTTCTCCATTGCTATGACAAAACACTCTGACCAGTACCAACTTGGGGAGGAAAGGGTTTATTCAGCTTACATCTCCCAGATCACAGTTCATCAGGGAGCCCAAGGTAGGAACTCCGCGCAGGAACCTGGAGGCAGGAGCTGAAGCAAAGGCCATGGAGGAATGCTGCTTACTGGCTTGCTCCCTGGCCCCTGCTCAGCCTGCTTTCTTATGCAACACAAGCCCACCTGCCCAGAGGTGGCATCACCCACAGTGGGCTGGTCCCCTCTCACATCACCCAGCAATCAAGAAGATGCTCCACAGACATGGCCACAGGCTACTCCAATGGAGGCAATTCACCAATTGAGGCTCCCTCAGCCCGAGGTGTGTAAAGTTGATACTAAAGCTATCCAGCACAGCCTTAACGCAAACGACAGAATGTTTGAACTCCAGCTGGGGGGCTATGGGAGGTGCCAAAGGGGAAGGAGGAAGAGGGCATAAAGATGATTTTAGGTATGAAATACAAAACAAAATAAAACCCAGTAATTTTTTTTTTTTAATGAGAGGAACCTTGGAACACATCTTATATCAACCTAGTTCTCCCCATAAACTAAAAAAAAATTTTTTTTAATATGTACACGTGCAGCACATGTGTGCAGGAGAACAGAGACGTCAAGAAGAACCCTTAAGATCTCTTGGAACTGGAGTTACAGACATTTGTGAGTTGCCATGTGGCTATTGGAAACCAAACCCCTCTTCTGCAAGAGTAGCAAGTGCTCAAAACTGTTGCGCCATCTCTCCACTTCCACTAGTCTTACATAGTCACTTATTTTGAATCAGTTTCACAATACTGCATGTTGAAGACCTGTATGAGAATGATGAAATGATGAACTTATCCCTGCTCCTTCTGATTTCTTTTTTTAAAAATGCATCCTTTAAGAAAGGACAAATGCCAGGTGTGGTAGCACATGCCTTTAATCCCAGCTCTTGGGAGGCAGAAGCAGGCCATCTGGATCTTTTTGAGTTCCAGGCCAGCCTGGTCCCTGCAGCTTCAGCAAATGTTTGTATGAAAAAGAGGAGTGAGTGGTGGTGAGATACACCAAAGGACACACTGCCTGACTGGCAGCACTCTGGTTTCCAATCTCCTCTTCCCAGCACTAACTGGAGCACAGCTGAAAAACTGTTTTAAAAATTTTACTTATTTATTTATTTTTATCTTATGTGTATGAGTGTTTTGCCTACATGTATATAAGTGCACCACATCTGTGCAATGCCTGAGGAGGCCAGAAGAGGGTTTCAGATCCTCTAGAAGTGGAGTTAGGAATGGTTGTTGCCATACAGGTGCTGGGAACTAAACCTGGGTGTTCTGTAAGAGATCAGTACTCTTAACCTCTGACCCATTTCGCTAGCCCCTGAAAAAAAAAAGATTTTTAAGCAGAGCAAACATAGGTTTATAGGTTTATTAAGGAAAGGATAAAATAACAATAACAAAAACCTCTTGAGAATGGGAGGGGCTTCATAGGAAAAAGACCCTGGAAAAATATTCAACTGCTTATGTGATAGTGAATTTAGTGATTTCAATTATCTGTTGACACTCCAGAATGAGGCTTTGATACTACACTGTACTGAGACAGACAGAGAATGCATGTTTCTGTCAAAGGAATTGTAGGATAAATAATGTAATCCACTCAGTGTGCATAAATAATAACCATTTTTTCAAAGAGTAATTAGCAACCTTTGGATAATGGGCCACACCAAAGCTAGGAAGTGATTCCAAAGATCTTTATTAACATCCAGACCTTTATGAATGCTTTTTAATTCTTGCAAGTACCACCATTTGTATTTTTAGAAGTGTTATTTAGAAAATACATAATCATGAAATTATATAAGGAAATCCATTATTCTGTATGCTTATTTTAAAAATTAAGGAATTTCAGTTTATTACATTTGGAGACAAGTTATTTTGCCAGTCACTGGCAGCACTCACCCACCTTCACTAACCAACTGGCTGTTGTCTGACTGCTTACAGGAAATGATCTTCTCCACTAGTTGGTTGTAGCTGCAGTTGCCAACAGCTTTTACAGTGTCCTCAATCTAGAAAACAAATGACTGTCTCACTAGTCATGATAAGATGAGAAGCAGCACCAAAGGAAATCCCCATCACTCTGTAAGGGTGTTCTAATGCCTTAGAAGAAAGAAAGCTAGTGCACAACACTTCTAATTTTGTTTGCAGCCCAGCCTAACACACTCAG